AGACCTGCTGAGCTTTTCCAGCAACTTCTGTTTTTGTTCCTGATCAGCATCCGCAATTCATTCGGTTTTTATTTCATATTCTATGAGATCTACCTGGCCCTGGTTCCAATCACTATAGAATTGAAAGGATACAGCAGGTTCTGTCACACTAATGTCAGATGATATACCATATACCTTAATCCTGCAGTGTTCTTGGATCTTTAAGATGCTGGAGTAGCAATGTACTCCAGGACACACTGGGAGATGTCCTACCATAGCACCCCTGGATTCACTGTCTTTATGACTGTTCTCCAGCAATGGTGCAAGCACTATGACACACTGATAGTCAATATTTTCCCTCTCTCTATCCTAGGATGTCCTGGTGAAGCAGCTTAGCACTGACCCTCCCTCCTCTGATCCTGGTCGGAGTCTGGTTCCTGTCTAACAGTGAGAAACAAACAGTCTTACTATAAATCACCACCAGCTTCTCCTCCAGCCCACTGTGCTCCACCCGACAGGAATACTCGGCCTGATCCTCCGGATCAAACTCTATCCATTTCCGGATCTGGTAGGTCTTGTCATAATTGGGTAAGATCCCAGTGGACAGGGTCTCATCGATCAACACTCCATCCCTCCACAGAGTCACCTCGATGGCTTGAGGGTAAAATCCAGTGACGAGACAGGACAGCTGGTTAGAATCACCCAGACGGGTAAAGGACACAATGGGGGCAACTGAGGGAGAGAGAAACAGGAGTCAGTGCACGAACATCGAGACAAAAAGGAACCTTGAGGTACAGAGTCCCAGGCACCACATCCTTCACTGACTCTCAAACCACCCATACTCACTGTCTCTCACTTCCCTGCATCCCATCTTATTTCTTCCCCAACTCATACTCCGATTCTTACTGAGTCTCATTCCCCCTCACTCAACAACTCTCAATCAAACACTCCCCCACCCCCACCCCCCTCAACTCACCGACTCTCAGTTCCCTCTGTCCGTAATCCAGGTATTTCCTCAGCCACTGGACACATTCCTTCTCCAGGAAATACTTCCACTCCTGGTTGCCCACCACAGACTGGTCCCACCTGTTTTTGATGCTTTCCGCCCAGGGCACTGGTGTCACCCACACCATGTGATCCTTATCGAAGCTGATTAAATCTTGTCCGTCCCATCCAAATTGATTGAACCCCCTCACAGTCCCATCATTCCTCAGGTCACAGCCAGTCACCATCTGGTATGTGTGGATCCCTGTCAATCACAAACACAAGTTTCCACTTAGAGACAGTCATCCCTGTCAATCAGTCTCAGTCTCAGGGTGAGAACCCGACCATCAGACTCACACCCACAGCCAGCCTCTGGATTCCAGATCCAGATCTGCACCTGGCTCCTCCCCATTCCCACCCAGACTCCCTGAAAGCACAGGAAGGTGTCATGCTGAAGTAAAGTGAGCACTCACCCTACGTCTGGTTGGTCCGTGACATAAGTATTGGAACATAGCGCTTGAAATGGTTCTCCAACCCCTTAGCGAGGGATAGTTTCCGCTGCCAGAACTGAGGCCCCTCAAGCTCCACCATCCACTGTTTCCGGGGGATCAACACTTTCCAATCGCTGTCGTACTTAACAAACTGAACCCCGTCCACATAACCAACAATCACAAACTCTGGGAAACCAGGAACTGATGACACAGCAGTGTGGAAATACCGGACAGAGTGAGTGGCTGAAACACACAGAAAAATCAGGACATGAATCCCTAAACACCAATCACAAAACTCCAACTGAATGCTATCTCTTTACACTCTACACCATCTCTTTCACCACTTTCAGGCTGGGACGCAGAAACCCACTCGTTTTGCCATTCAATGGTAGTACCAACCCACCCCTACATCCTGGGTGTTACCATTGACCAGAAACTGAACTGGATTAGCCAAATAAAAGTTCTGTGCTTCTGTTGGCTGTTTGCATCAGGAGACCTTTTCGTTATTTAATCTCCCCTCCCTTCACCCTATCACAGATCTTCTCCTTTGATCTTCATGTCTCCTCCTCCTCTCTCCTTTGTCTTAAAAGCCCTTACACCTCAGTTTCCCTTCAGCATTGATGAAATATTTCTCCCCACGATGCTGCCTGATCTGCTGCATATATCCAGCTATTTTGTTGTGGTCTCTTTTCCCACACTATCCAATCTTGCCTGCTGCTAGACCTGAACTGAATTCAGAAAATAAACTCAAAACAAACAATTTCATTCAGCTCCACCATCTTCATAGCAATGTCACACATAATGGAACAGCTAAAATGTGTTTATATTTCTTATTCACGGGATGTGGGCATCATTGTATAGGGTGGCATTTTCTCACATCCCCAACTGTCTGAGAACGTGGTGGTGGGACACCATTTTGAACCACTTCGGTCTGTGTAGTGTAGTTACAAACACAGTGCTGGTCCCAGCTAAAAATGTCAATTAATTGCCTTTAATTCCAAAGCTTTTCTTAATTCTGGGAAACCAGACGAATAATGTAAATCTTTTACTGGAATATTTGCAAACATTTTATTCCAGTTTTGACGCTAACCAGACCCACCCACTGATTTATGCTCTTTCTACTTCTCAAGTCATCGTGGTGCAACATTTTCAGCGGAGGTACCCAAAATGAGTCGGTCAGATTCTCGACTGGCTGAAATTTTGAAGTGCTCACTGCCTGTATACTATGTAGTGCAAATGTTACCTTCTGCATATGCGTCCCAGCCTGAAAGTGGTGAAAGAGGTGAATGGGATCCTGGGCTTTATAAACACAGGTGTTTCCAAATAGGTTTGAACTGAATTTCCATCAGAGTTATAATCTCTGTTTTCTCAGAAGAGAATTTTCAACCCTCGATTAAAGCCTCCGCAGAAGCATATGAAGAATTGGTCTAAGCCTCAATGTCAATAAGACACAAATTCTGTACCAACCTGTTTGAGATGAACTTCTAATCTACCCCTCTATTAAGATCAATGGATGAATCCTCCCAAATGCGGAACATTTCCCCACCTGGGAAGCTACATCTCATCTAAGAATGATATCAGTGCCGAGATTTAACATCACATCCAATCTGTGAGCGCCGCCTTCCGATTCCTAAGGTTGGGAGACTTCAATGACCATGATATCTGTGTGGATGCCAAGATCCTTTTATCAAAAGCAATCATCCATCCAACTCTTTCCCATCACTCCGAAACTCGGACTATATACAGATTCCATCTCAAGACCCTTAAGAAACTGATGGATAGAAAGGGGGCAAGAGAGAAGGGGAAGTGGCATTTTTGATTAGGAATAATAATATGGTCATACTTAGGGAGGATATTCCTGATATTCCAGGCCATTGTGTTAAGGGCTCAGAGGAGAGGAATTTATTGAATGTGTACAAGAAAATTTTCTGATTCAGTATGTGGACGTACCGACTACAGAAGAAGCAAAAACTTGACCTACTCTTGGGAAATAAGGCACGGCAGGGGACTAAGATGTCAGTGGGGGAGCACTTTGAGGCCAGTGATCAGAATTCTGTTGGTCTTAAAATAGTGATGGAACAGGACAGACCGAATCTAAAAGTTAAAGTTCTAAATTGCAGGAAGGCTGATTTTGATGGTATTAGGCAAGAGTTTACAAAAGTTGATTTCGGGTGGATGTTTGCAGGTAAAGGGATGGCTGGAAAATGGGAAGCCTTCAAAATGAGACAATGAGAGTCCAGAGACACTTTGTTTCTGTTAGGGTAAAGTGCAAGGTTGGTAGGTGTAGGGAATGCTGGATGAATAGAGAAATTGTGGTCTTGGTCACGAAAAAGAAAGAAGCATAAGTCAGGTATAGACAGCAGGGATCGAGTGAATCCTTACAGGAGTATAAAGGCAATAGGAGGATACTTAAGAAGGAAATCAGGAGGGCAAAACGAGGACATGAGACAGCTTTGGCAAATAGGGTGAAGCAGAATCCAAAGAGATTCTACAAGTACATTAAGGACTAAAGGGTAACTAGGGAGAGAATACAGTCCCTTAAATATCAGCAAGGCCACCTACATGTGGAGCTGCAGGAGATGGGGGAGATTCTAAACAAGTATTTTGCATCAGTATTTACTGTGGAGAAGGATATGGAAGATATAGAACATGGAACATAAATAGCGACATCTTGGAAAATGTCCATATTACAGGGGAGGTGGTGCTGTGTGTCTTAAAATGCACAAAGTTGGATTTATCCCCTGGACCAGATCAGGCATAGCCTAGGACTTTGTGAGAAGCGAGGGAAGTGATTACTGGGCCCGTTGCTGAGATATTTGTATCATGGATAGCCAGAGGTAAAGTGCCAGAAGACTGGAGGTTGGCTAACGTGGTGTCACTATTTAGGAAAGGTGGTAAGAAAAAGCCAGGAAACTATAGACCGGTGAGCCTGACATTGGGGTGGGAAAGTTGTTTGGAGGGAATCCGGAGGGACAGGATTTATATGTATTTGGAAAGGCAAGGAATTTTTAGGGATAGTCAACATGGCTTTGTGCGTGGGAAATCCTGTCTGACTAACCTGATTGAGTTTTTTGAAGAAGTAACAAAGAGGATTGATGAGGGCAGAGCGGTAGACATGATTTATATGGACTTCAGTAAGGCGTTTGACAAGGTTTGTCATGGTAAACTGGTTAGCAAGGTTAGATCACATGGAATACGTGGACAACTAGCCATTTGGATACAGAACTGGCTTGAAAGTAGTGGTGGAGGGTTGCTTTTCAGATTAGAGGCCTATAACCAGTGGTGTGCCACAAGGATCAATACAAAAGCTGGGTCCACTGTTTTTTGTCATTTATATAAATGATTCAATGTGAACGTAGGAGGTATGAATAGTAAGCTTGCAGATGACACCAAAATTGGAGATGTAGTGGATAGCGAAGAATGTTACCTCAGACTGCAATGGGACCTTGATCAGATGGGCCGATGGGCCAAGGAGTGGCAGATGGAGTTTGATCTAGATAAATGTGAGATGCTACAGTCTGGTCAGACAAATCAGGGCAGGACTTACACAATTAATGGTAAGGTCGTGGGGAGTGTTGCTGAATGAGATTTTGGAGTGCAAGTTTGTAGTAACTTGAAAGTGGAGTCGCAGGCAGATAGCATAGTGAAGAAGGCATTTTGTATGCTTGCCTTTATTGGTCAGTGCATTGAGTACAGGAGTTAGGAGGTCATGTTGCATCTGTACAGGATATTGATTAGGCAACAGTTGGAATACTGTGTGTAATTCTGGTCTCCAGCTTTAGAAAGGATGTTGTGAAACTTGAAAGGGTTCAGAAAAGATTTACGAGGATGTTGCCAGAATTGGAGGGTTTGAGCTATATGGGGAGGCTGAGTATACTGGAGCAATTTTCCTTGGACTGTCAGAGGATGAGGTGTTGACTTTATAGAGGTTTATAAAATCATGAGGTGCATGGTTAGCTTAAATAGACAAGGTCTAATCCCTAGGGTGGGCGAGTCCAAAACTAGAGGGCAAAGGTTAAAGGTGAGTTCCAACTGCTAACGCAAATCACCGTCACCCAACTCAAGGATGGCACTCAAAACGAGAGGAGGACAAAGGAAGCGTTTCAAAAACTCCCTCAGGGCTTCATTCAAGAAATGCAACATGAATACCAGTCCATGTGAGACATTCATTCAGAAGAAAATGATTTTGGAGGAAATTCCTGTTTGAAGGGTTACAATTCTTTGAGAATACCTGCTGGCAAGTGGAAGTATGGAAAAGGAACCAGGAAAGGAATGCCAACAATTTCAAGGCCAAAGGACCAATTCCACCTCCCAAATGGTTTTTCGGAGATGGAACTCTAGGATTGGGATCATCAGCCACATAAGGACCCACAGAACCCATGACCAGTGCCATGGAGTGTCCTAGGCAGACAATCATACTCATTAGTGAGGGGTCACCAACGACATCCGGATTGCTTTTACAAGCTTCTTACCAGAGACCCCAATTTCTGACAGATATAACTTAAATTCCTAAACATATTCCAAAAACAATGAATGATGAACCAGATTTTCCCAAGATACAAAAGGAACAGGTTCAAGGGGATAAATACTCTCTTCCAATTCTTATGGCCTTTCTTTCATTCATTCAAGGGATGCGGGTATAGGTCAGCCCTTATTGTCCATCTTTAATTGCGCAGAGGGCAATTATAAGCAATGCCCATTCCAGTGAGTCTGGAGTCACAGGTAGGAATGACCAGGAATAGACAGCAGACTTCCTTCCCTAAAAGAACATTACTGAATTAGATAGATATTTATGACATTTTTCTTCTACATTCTTCACACCTAACTTCCTGCCCCCGCTCTCCAATTAAATATCGCTGTCTTTCTATTCCACCACATTCCCCTGATCTCAGTCTGACACTCCTCCCTGAATCACCATTACACACTTACTGCAGGTTACAGTCCAGCAAATCTCTGACTCTCAAGTGCAGACACTCAACCAGTAATATAGTTCAGTCATCATTCTAGATTGCTCCAAAAAGCAACAAGACAATAGTTTGTCAGAATTCTTTTCCAATAACGCATTCTTTCTCTCTCAGCAAGTTGTGCCCCGTACTGACACTGTCCCCGTCAGTCTGTGAGCTGTATCCCGTACTGACACTGTCCCCGTCAGTCTGTGAGCTGT